TTTACCGTTCTTCTGTTATGTCCCTTTATTTCTATATGCTATGCAAGCGGGGGCATCATCTGTGTCCACATTTGGACACTGTCCACATGTATTTCTGTATGTTTCACGCAGATTGTTATCTCAAAATCGCCTCTCCATGAACATGATAAAAGTCGATATCAGCTCCCTGTGTCATCGGATGCAAATTGTGAAGCTTCATCTTTAAAAACCAGATACATCTCCTCTGATTAACGTTTTATGTCATAGTTATTTCTCTCACCAATTATCTTGAATTGCATCTGAAAAAGTGAGTGATAACCATTTTGCATGCTTGATGTTAATTCTGTTCTGTATCTCATTTGGTTGTTTTGTTGTCTCGAATGATCGGGTTTTTAAATCTTGGTGTCTAACATAATCGTTGAAAGTTTTGGCGCGTGTATAATCTTGCAAAACATATGGCTGTCTGTCATTATCTCTTGTATGTTCAATTATCCTAATTTCTTCATCAATTTCATTACTTCTTGTTCACCATCACTGCTGATTTTGCTGGTTGATCTGTTGAAACTGGCGTCATTGAATGATGTCTTTCTTGGTATATTGGCTAGTCCTGAGTCTGAATAAGGGCAAACGGTGTGCTTATTTCTCCAGTGGAAAAAGACCAACTGCTTGGTAAGCCTTGTATTTTTTGCATGTGTTTGGTGTACCCCTGTTTTAAACGAATGTGCTCAGTGCACAGTAATATTTGCATATGTTATGTACACATTGTGTGAAAGGACCTTTGCGCAGTGAACTTATATTAGGATAAGGACATGTCATAGATGCACCTTGGAAGGAATACATGTTTTCGGAGAACTTTAGAATGGAGCATGTGTACCCAGTGCCCTATGAGATTGAATTTGTGTGATCAGTGCTCTTCGTGATGGAATACGAGTGTTCAATGCACAGTGGGATTGGTTACATGTAATCCGTCTAATCTGAAAAGAGGTACATGACCCAGTTGCACTACACAATGTAATATTTGTTTCCAGAGCATTCTCACCTTTATTGACATTCCAGTAACATATAGTTAAACGTTACATGATAAAGAAGTCAAGGTGTTGATTTGCAGAACCTTGTAAAGATGGTATATTTGGTAACCTACTATTTGGAACCATGCTTGCATACTCCTTACAAATAAAAAATATTGGTGATAGTAATTTTCTATTCCGTACAACATGATGACTTTGGGCGAAAGCTAAGTTTACATAGTTTTAAGTATTTCATTGTCCCAGGTTTTTTAATACATCTTATAAGAATATGTGGATACAGCATTTTAGTTTTTACTATTTATATAAACAATTTTGAGAAGAACATACTAAATTTCAGCAACGCTGAAACAAATCTGTGTCTTTATTGATTTTTTTTTATGTTTTGGCTAAAGATTTTTCAACAATATTCTAAGCTTCGGTAACATTTGAAGTTTTAATTCTTTATTTTTATTGCAGTATCATTATGTATGAATTGGGCTCTGATAATATACTTCAAGTTTCAATTAAGCTCTGTATTCAACTATTTTCAGTTAGTTTAATGGTTAAACTTAAATATACTCTATGTTTCAATTAACATGTACACATTTAGTATATTTATTTTTTTTTCAGAGTATTCTAGTAATTTTTGTTTTGTTTGTTTGGGTATTTTTTTTAACATCTGTCACCAATTGTAGCGCCGATCAGAATTGTAAAGAACTTTTGTTTAATGAAAATAGAAATAAAAGAAACTAATGCAATGTTTTATTAAAATATATTACTAATAATATTTCAATGTTGTTTTAAATAATGCATAATGCAGCGTGTGATTAAAAACCACCCGAATACAATCAAAAGCTTCTAAACTTTACGAATCAACTATTCTTGGAAATGTCAGATTTAGGTTTAGCACGCTCTTCTATAAACAAAAAACCTACACGATTACATAGTCCCTATAGTCAACATGTTAACAGATAATGAACACGTTCAGGACAAATTGACGACTCTGTTTAAAAAACATATATAATAAATATCTGAGAAGGTAATTAACTTATCATAACGCTTTAACACATCGTTGTCAAGTGAATTGTCTCCGCAAAACATCTAGGGCCGACATGATGACAATGGGACATGAATGACATATTCACGGAAAAAATGTCGCGGGAATTATGAAAATGGAATTGAATTTAATAATTGTTCATCATCAAAATAAGAGACTAACATTCATATTAATTTGTCAAAAACTTATGTATACAAAAGGCCAATTTAAGTCATATAAGTCCACTTTGACATACCATCATCACAACTACCGTTCTGCAATTTAATGTCCAGGTATAAACCTGTTCATTTATAAATGTGTTTTTGAGATCGTACCAAAACTAAACTGTTTCCATTATTATTGACCATTCGTCCAATTAGAATATAGAATGTTGCATTTTTTAAACGAGAATTATTCCTAAATCACCCTCGCTTTTGATGGGGTTCGTGTTGCTTAGTCTTTAGTTTTCTATGTTGTTGTTTGCATACTGTTGTTTGTCTTGGTCGTTTCTCGGTTTTTGTCATTGCATTGTCAGTTCGTTTTCGACTTATGAGATTGATTATCCATTTGATATCATTCGACTCACTTTTATCTAATTAATCGAGTTCGAGATCACTAACATCACCGAACGAGACTTGTCACAAATTATGTACCTAACATGTGCAGGATAAAGGGTGTCACTAATTGATCAGGATCTGTATACCTTCTGAATCATATGAGATTAATTTTTGGTATGGTCTGTTATGCTCGGTTCGTGATTTTCAGTGTTGAGTGGACTTGTTTGTATTTTCGTCGTCTTTCAGTTTTTTGCCTAGCTTTGTGACTTTCAAAAAATGTCCAAATGATATATTACGTCTATTATTTTAAATCTTTGTTACAGGACAAATGTCGGTAAAATGAAAGACAGACTTAATAACTGAATAACATGAATAAGTGATAAAAGTTTGAGATATAAACAAATGAACACGACATGTTCAATCAACATGACTGGTCTGATCATTCATTACTTTCAATGCGACTTCGTATCATCGAAAAATATATCACTTGACTAACATGGTTTAAATGACAACATTGAAGGTGTAAGTAAGCATTCTTTCTAGTCCTTTCTGTAGCTTGTTGAATGTGATGAATATTTGTTCATACAACAGTCATGGTCAGCTCTATTAGGTTATCTTTTTAACACGTACTGTAGCTAGATCTTTGTACATTGTCTCTGTCGGGACTAAAATTGAATTTGTTCTTAATATATTAAACCATAACTGAAAACTGAATCCGCTGGATGTGTAAACAGTCTAGGAAAATATAATTTGTTTATTATTTGCAATTGGCTATAAACCAGCTTTCAGTAACTAGAATTGCTCTTAGATCGAAACATCGTGTCTTTCGTCTTTTTTTTTTCTCTTTGTGAGTTATTGTTTCTGTTTTGTGCTGATCATCTGATGAATAAACAAGCCCTTTCTAACAGAGTTTTACAGTTTCAAAATATATGGAGTTTCGGTATAAATGCCAATGAGACAACTGTCCACAAGAAACCAAATGTGCTTATGTTGTGTTGGTTTTCTAAAGTAAATTGTTTATAGTATTTTGTAATGTCGGGAATTTGATAGTTTTCTATAGGGACTTTCTTTTGCTCAGTGTTTAAAGCCGTACGGTGACTGATAGCTGTTTACATTAATGTCGTTGGTCTATGGTCGAATGTTGGTAATCATATACCACATCTCCTTTTTTGGCCAAAAAGCATATAAATTATGGATATCTGTGATATTACGTCAATTAGATAGCTAATTAAAATCTAGAAACAAAATTCATCACGTGCACATATAAAAATAAGAAGATATGGTAGGATTGCCAATGATACAACTCTCCACCAGAGACCAAATGACGTAGAAATGAACAGCTACCGTACGGCCTTCAACAATGAGCCAAACCATACCGCAAAGTAAGCTATAAAAGCTGTAATAATACACGTAAATTCATAGAGTGGGCTGATATATGATATTCACTTTTAAAAGGGCATCCGATACAATTACAGGGGAGGTAAGGACGTCGCTAACGTAAAATATTATTTTTCGCGACGTCAAACTGTGACAAATTGTGGAAAAGATGCATTTTTCGACTGATTTCAATCATTACATTGAAAACGAGTACATGGACCCCTCTCTTTTAAAAAGGCATTTTTTTTTTTTTTTTATTATTTATAAAGATTATTGGTATCAATAATTAAGAAAATATTACCAATGAATTTTGTTTTAATTAAATAAACATACATCAACAAAAAGCCGGTTTTTTTTCGAAAATCATGAAAATAGTAGTGTATTTCTAAAGAATTGTTGCACAAATTCATAGCAACGTAAAGAAGATATTCAAAATATTTTTACAAAAATCCACTTGTGGTTAACTTTTGAAACAAAAAAGTTAGGTATGTCTGTCCGAAGGACAGAAACGTCCACTCAACCGAAATTATGAGTAAATGTCTAAAATTTCGACCCCATTTATCTCTAAAAGTAGCACATGAAGATATACTTTTTACAAAATATTTGAATTGACCAGGTGAAAAATAGCTTGTATGCAAATTTCGTAAAATCACCGTGGGATCAAAACTGTATCGTATGCCTTTGACAAGTTTTAACAAAAATACCAAGGTAAATTCAAAAAGAGGGTAGGTCCGTAACACCTGACCAAATCAAACGCTCGATTATATCAACCAACGGAACGAATGGAAAATAACTGTCATATTCCTGAATCGGAACAGTCAATTCATAACGTATATTTACCTTAAAAAGCCTAAGCTTTGTAAATTAGTGAAACATTTCTACCAAAAATAGCACATATTCTGCATCTGCTCTTTTACGAGAAAAACTTGTCCAATGCCTCAAACCATGATGAACTCGGATAAAGCGAATTGCCGTTTACCACAAAGTTATACATTTTTACTGACATCTAATGCACCATGCTTAAAACTTTTTTTTATATTTTAGGTGGCCTGATACTATTCTTATTTTTTTGTATTCTCAGTTTGACTGATACAATTTCTTCAGTGTCATTAAAAAGAAAATCGACAGCTAAAACAATTGCACAAGTACCTTTATACATAGAATCACCAGTAACAAGGCATTATAACAGCTTGATCGAAAAAAGGAAGGGGTCAATATGTCCTATCTTACAAGGTGGATTTGGAAATAGATTGTTTCAATTCTCTACTGCGTTTGCTGCAGCAAGATCTAAGAATATGGATCTTATCATACCCTCTGGTGCTGAAATCAGCAAAGTTTTTGAAATTAATGAGACATTCAATGGAGCAAGAGAAGTGTGTAAAGGGTTTCGGAAAGTTTTAGATAAAGCATCTCCAACTTTCCATAAAAACTTAATGAACTTTAGCTCAACTGATAATATTCAACTTGGATATGGTCTTCAGTCGTGGAAATATTTTTATATGTATGATAAACAGCTTAGGAAGCAATTAACATTTAGAAAACATATACAAAATGAGGCAAAACAGACGATCGATAAAATACTACAACGACGTAACATTACGTCACGCAAGAGTGTTAATTTGGTTGGCGTCCATATAAGGCGAGGCGATAAGGTTGGCAATCATGATGGGTTTAACATCGCTACACCAGAGTATTTAAGCAGATCTGTTATCTATTACACTAACAAATATGAAGCTGTTATATTTTTAGTTATATCAGATGGGATGTCATGGTCTAAAGAAAATATGCCATCTCATGCCCCAGTAGAATATATATCATTAGGTAAAAGAGAACTCGATATGGCAACTGTAGTTGCCTGTGACCACACAATCATGACAATAGGAACGTTTGGCTGGTGGATCGGATTCTTAACTGGTGGAGATGTGGTATACGTGAAGGATGCAGCAGCAAAAGGTTCACGATTTGAAAGAATACTTAATTTTGAAGATCATTACTATCCTCACTGGGTAGGACTTTAGTTAATCTGCATTTTTGACCAATCACGTTTTAACCATCTTTTTGCAAAATCGTTGTAATGAAGTCTTAATACAACCATCGAAGTGCACAAATTGTAATCACATTGGAAAATTTTATTTATAAAAGATAAGTCTAAACTAAGCGCCTTTCATTATCAAGACTGCTAAGAACCTGGTCCGTGTTTATCTGCGTCCATTCGTTTTTCCTTTTGAGATATCAAAAACGAAAAAGAAAAAACAAAAGTCTCTTTATTTTTAATTTGATATCTTTAAAACCAAATATTTCGTTTTTAATATCTTAAAACAAAAAAACGAAAAACTGTTGTCGCCTTCTATACTCTGCTTTCTCATTCCTTACTCTTCTCCGTAGACTAACTGATGATAGGTACAATCAAAATGACACCAGATTAGGTTTTGCTTGTGACATTATGGAAATACTCACAAAATATGATTTATCGAAGTATTTAGATCGATTTCTCAATGATGGACAATTTCCAAGTTCTCCAACATGGAAGTCGAGTCGAGTCGTCTATTTATCAGGTTGAAGTAGTAAAGTGGCGTCCACGTATGGCATTGGATTCCGATTTTGTTGTTTGCAAAGACATCCACTCGTTTTATATACCACATGCGGCGTGGAAGGTAGCACTTCGTCGCCCACTGATTTGACGGTGTCCTATAGCTATTTTTCCCGGGAGGGGGAGGGGCAGTAACTGGATCGATCCAGTGTTGGCCTATTTTCCCCTTTGGAACACGAGTAGCTCATTTCCCGCCTTGTATTAACGTCGGCGGCGTCAGTTGGATAATAGTTATCCATTTAAAAATGATAGTATCCGTCTTTTAGTTAGTTTAGCATTATCACACCATCATCGTATCATTATACATTCAATATCAGATTATTTATTTATATTTATACAAGTTTAATCGTTTATATAAAAAATATACAGTGATACATTCTTTGGTCGGGTTGTTGTCTCTTTGACACATTCCCCATTTCCATTCTCAATTTTATTGTTAATTTCCATTGTTTAATGCAATGTAGGCGTACATATAATAATAATTTTTCAGCTGATTTAGTAGTTTTAGGTAAATAAATTGAAGAAAAACTACGGTTTCTTATTAGTGCATTCTGAATAAAATTCGGATCTATCATAACTTTCATTTATAAAACAAAACGATTTGTTACATTTACTGCACAAAATGGGTTCTCAACTAAAATTTTAAATTTTAAATTCTCATATGCTGTTATAGAAATTATTGATATCTTTAGAATTTTTATGATCATTTTGTGGTACTTTCTAAGAAATTTCACCATGTTCCGGGAAAAAGTTAAGCTATTATCTTATTTTCTAATAAATTAATTTTTATAGTATCAACATTTGCTAATCTTACTTCAAGTATACGGATTCATTTCATTTCTATGGGTAACAGATTCTGCTGAACAAATGTTATTGGTTCTAAATAATATGGGATGCCTATATACTTATTTCATTACCTTTTGTAGTTGAGCGGTTGTTTTATACAATTGACAACTATTATTTTTGTATACAGAATATTTTAAAAATGCGTTGGCGGATAATACAAAAAAAAAATATGAAAATAGCATCTTCATCTTTGCAGGATGCTGATATGGCTTTATAAAGTTCCATATTGAACACACCAGCATCTTTGCATTATATGTTTTTCGTAACACCATAGCCTGCTGTACGTACTGGATGTTGTCAATATCACTGGACTTGCTGTATTCACCTTCCCATGTGTCGGCACATCATGTCATGATCAATTCTATTTTCATTTCATTCACAAAACTTACATTTTCTTTATTACGATCATTGTTAAGCCTGTGTCTTTTTACTGTATTTAATATCTATCAATCATTTAATAAAATCAGTTACATGAACTTGAACTTTCTAACTTTCTTTTATCATTTATCACTAATCTGAAATCAGCTGGAATCGCAAATGACCTGGTGTTGTTTGGATGTTTCGTCGCCTAAGTTCAACCTGTCCAGTAACTATAAAGTGTTACGATACATAATACACAACACATAAATAGTAACCGGGAAGGTACAGCCACTACTTAAAAAATGCTGAAACGAGAAATGAAAATCCAATATAGTTTTTAATACACATAAATATTCTGTCCAATATAAATGTTTGAAGAAATTGCTTAAAATGAGTTTCCATTTGCTAACGTCTTTCATCCACGACAATTTGGGCTCATATTTGTCTCTAAGGCAATTATACCACACCTCCTTAGTTTTACATTCACAGTAAAATTTATTCTGGCCACAAGCAACCAATGAGTCTATATACTTCATATAAAGTGTTCGTTGTAACATCACAATACTGTTAAAGTAGATATTCATGTAGTATAAAGTGTTCAAAATATATTGCTTTCCTCCCAATGTTGAAAAGGACTACTCATGGCTGCAAAAAAACTACTTACACCCTCCCCCCTTTTCCACCCCCAAGAAAACGCATGATTATTTAAAACCTCCATTAAAACTTCACTTTACCAAAGTTTTCCATACCAAGCCTGGTGCTTCTGCGTAGTCATCAAATAAAATTATTGAAAAACCATCTGAACCACTAATTAAATTGAATTATTATGGAACAACACACAGATCTATACACTATCAAAGGGAGAAAAGGGTGCAATTTCATCATTGTCATTTGTTTTGGAGAGAAAGATATCCTATTTGGAGATATTTAATGAAATTGCAATCCAATCCAATGGTGGATTCATTTTACACCTTTATTTATGTTTTATTTTGTTGCTTGACCCTAGTCCTATAACACAAACATCGTGTGGCGATATTTACATTTTCTTTAATTTTTCGTATTTTCTTTTTCATTCATTTTGCTATTTGCTATTTTTGGCTTTTATAATCAAGCTGCCACCGAGCTTCATAATTAAAATAAATGGGGAATGTGTCCATGGGACACAGATGATGCCCCCGCTTGCATATAACGTTATAAAGGGACATAACTCAAGAACTGTAAAATTACTTGATCTGAGTTTTGTGGTAATAAGCATTGTGTATAAGTTTCATAACATTTAGTTGAGGCAAACTTAAGTTAGAGAGCGGAAACGAAAAATTCAGCAATTTTTCCATTTGTAAAGGGCATAACTCTAGAACGGTAAAAGTGACGCCACCAAAATTCGAACTTGATCTGTGTTTTGTGGTAATTTGCATTGTGCATAAAAGTTAGAGAACGGAAACGAAAAATTCAGCAATTTTTCCATTTGTAAAGGGACATAACTCTAGAACAGTAAAAGTGACGCCATCAAAATTCAAACTTGAACTGTGTTTTGTGGTAATAAGCATTGTGTATAAGTTTCATAACATTTGGTTGAGGCAAACTAAAGTTAGAGAACGGAAACCAATTTTGGGACGTACGTACAGACGTACAGACGGACAAGGGTAAAACTTAATGTCCCCTCCGCTACGGTGGGGGCATAAAAAGCAAGAAATGAAAATATCAGCTTTACTTATGGAACGCCATGACTGCCTTATGTTGATGATCATCATCATATGCAGTGGTCACAGCATTATATGTAGTGGTCATAGCATTATATGCAGTGGTCAAAACATTATATGCAGTGGTCACAACATTATATGCAGTGGTCAAAACATTATATGCAGTCATGACAACATTATATGCAGTTGTCGGAACATTATATGTAGTGGTTACAACATTATATGCAGTGGTCATAACATTATATGCAGTCGTGGTAACATTATATACAGTTGTCGGAACATTATATGCAGTGGTCACAACATTATACGTGTTTTGTTGATGAAGGTGATGATCAGTGATAGTGATGATGATTGATGATAGTGATGGTGGTGGTTTTCGTTAATTTTTTATCGGAAATTGCCGAATCCAGTCATAATTGATAATGCCCCGCAGACAAAATGAAACAGTTATTGAAGTCATATAATTTAGGCAATTCGATTGAAAACTTTACCAGAGAAAAAATAACGCCTGCTATTGTCTGCATATTGGACAGACATAATTTTATAAATTTAAGGGTAGTTCATTCCGAGGAAATGATGAAACTAAGAGTTGAATGCATTAACTAGATCTGTTCGTCTTAAGAAATACGCATGACATAGTGTAGGTAAAATAATGATTAACAAGAGGCTGTCAGAGTGACAGCAAACCGGATTTTCCTGCAGAGGTCAAACACTGCACAGTTGAGCAAGTATGGACACAACATTTAAGCTTATAACAGCTCTGAATTTGGATTGTGATTGAATATTTGACACAGCATAGGTTTGTGACCCAAAATGAATGTAGTCAAAGAACTGAAAAATTTGAAATTAGGCATTTACCTATTATGGTTAAATATTCAAAATCTAGGTATATTGTAAGAATTAGCATATCAAAGAACCCCAAGAATTAAATTTTTTATGAAATACTCATTTCTGTTTAAAGGGAAATGACTCAAAATTCATATAATAACTCAAATTCATATAATCAATAATCATAATAAACAACCAGTGATGACTAAATACTCTAAAATTAGATATGATGCAGTCACTAAAACATTGTTAGGATCAGCATATCAAAGAACCCCAATTTTTGATGAAATTAAACAAAAGTTTAATTTAGGACCCTTTGGACCTCAATGTGATATTATCTAATTAATAATGAAAATCAATACAGGTTTAGATTCAGCATTTCAAAGAACCCTATATGATTTCAATTTATGTTGAAATCAAACACAGTTTAATTAAGGACCCCATTTGGACCAATTTGAAAACTGGGCCCAAAATCAGAAATCTAAATATATAGATATAAGAAGATGTGGTATGAGTGCCAATGAGACAACTCTCCATCCAAGTAAAAATTTATAAAAGTAAACCATTATAGGTCACAGTACGGTCTTCAACACGGAGCCTTGGCTCACACCGAACAGTAAGCTATAAAGGGCCCCAAAAAATTACTAGTGTAAAACCATTCAAACGGGAAAACCAACGGTCTAATCTATATAAAAAACGAGAAACGAGAAACACTTATGAACCACATCAACAAACGACATCTACTGAACATCAGATTTCTGACTTAGGACAGGTGCAAACAAATGCAGCGGGTTTAAACGTTTTAATGGTACCAAACCTTCATCCTTTTTCTGAAACAATAGTGTAACATCACAACATAGAAAGACACACTATAAAATGTTTATTAATAGACAATATAAGCTTAGTTTTTAAAGGAGTTTACTTCAACAAAAAAATATATAAAGCATTCAGAAAATTAGTTTTTACAGAATAACAAACAAACCTACCACAAAATTCCTCAAACAATTTACCAAAGAAAAGAAAAAATATTTATAGCATTCAGAAAATTAGTTTTTACATAATAACAAACAAGTCTACCACAAAATTCTTCAAACAATTTACCAAAGAAAGGAAAAAAAATCAAAGTTTTATTTTTCATTAATACAATGTCTTTTAAAAATCTATAAAACTTATCTGTAATTATCTTCAAAATGTCTAATAATGAACAGTAAATTTCTAACTTTATTTATACAGTCCTATATAGCTTATAATCATCAACACTTAGAAAACAGAAAATTTTCAAATAAATCTGTCAATCCAATTATAATTGTGTGAGACATTTGCCAGATGCTCTTATCTATCAACAGGTGAAAATTAGTCATGTTAGTGTAATCAAACTTTATATATATAATTAACTATTTCTGTTCAAAGAGAAATAAATCAATCACATTAAAAATACCTCTTTTGGATATTAAAAAGGGCAATAACTCAACAAGGAGAAAAGCTAAAATCGTGAAAATTGAACTTGACCTTCATTTAGTCACAGGTAACAACATATCTAAATTTGAAAAAAAAATTGTCCAAGCGTTTTCATGTTATTGAGGAGACACTGTTTGGCAGCCGCCCGTCCGCCCGCCCGCACGCCCGCCGTACATCCCCAAATCAATAACCGATATTTCATTCGAAAATCCGGTTAATAAAAATGAAATATGAAAGGACAGTTTGTATACTATATGGCTCGAGTTCATTTCCTACTGAAGAACTATTGCTAGGTGCCACTTTATAGTCGATATTCAGTTTAAATGGCATAAATACATTTTGAATAAAATAGTCAGCTGTCCATAAGACCTAAGTCCCATATATCGCCAGCTTATGTATGTCATGATAGAGCCATTATTTGGCTTTGATTTTCAGAATTATGCATTTTTACATGATTTAGTATCTAACAGATATGAAAAATGCAGTTTAAGGCCTTTCATTGTAGGTGTTTAATATAACTTTACATCAATTGTATCCAACTTTTGCAAGCTTTTTAGCACGTAAAGCAGTTTGTCTACTAAATACGAGCAGCAGTCTAAACCAAAGAGATATATTATCATATATGAAATCATCGATCATATTTTACAACTTCAAATAAACATCTTTTTTTGTTATAGTTGATGCTCTTATCAAAATATAAACTTTTATTAGGAAAATATACCCTTTTTCAGACTCAGTTTAACATTTTTATTTATAGTTATCTTCTCTTTATCATCCCTTCGGAAAACGGAGTTTGGGAGTGGATATTGCGTTAACTACGTTTGTTTGTCCGTCTGTCACGGTTGATATAAAAATAAGGAGATGTGATATGATTGCCAATGAGACAACTATCCACGAGTTCAAATGAAGTGGATGTAAGCAATTATATGCAACCGTACGGCCTTCAACAATGAGAAAACCCATACTGTATAGTAGGCTATAAAAATATGACATGAAAAATATGAAACAATTCAATTGAGAAAACTTACGGCCTAAGTTTTGCGTTTTAAGGTCAAGATCGGAAGTGAAAGAGGAATGATTTACTATTAGTGCGCACATCTTGAATAGTAACGAATGTCCATGAAAAAATTGGGTCACCTCTACCTAATTTAATTCTGGCTAAGTTTTGCATTAAAATACAAAAGCTCATCAACTACAAGTCATAGAGGAATGATATCTTTTAGATCGCACTTCTTGAAAAAAAGTTGGTCGCCTCGACCTTTATTTTACGCATGAATGATTCTGATTAAAATTTGTGTTAAGGTCCAGATTAAA